TAAAGAAGCATGGAAGTAGTCACAGCCGGAGCACAGGATGAGTTGATGCAGAGCCTAGACTACAAGCTGAGCAACACCAACTACGTGACAGCCGGCACGACGTGCAGTATTTCCAAGCTTGCTGAGTTCCTTCTCCCCAGCCACCTCGAGGGCTCTCTCTGTTATTTGTGAAATCTAAAACCGCTGACAGCGCATCCTCAGAGGTTGTCATTCAGCACATGTGGATTCTGCGAAAATTTGGTGGTTTTGCGCGGTGCGGCCACAGCCCTTCTGCTTGCACTTCTGCAAGGGTTTTCAGCTTGCTTCAATATGCAGGCAAAACGGGTCGTAGTCGCATTCTGTGCGTCTCAGAAGTTTAAGTTGCCCGGACTTAAAGCGCTGTTTCTGGCCTTGTAAGTGCGTTTCTGTTCTGGAGCTTTGTGGCTCGAAAAGCCTGATAAGTGCTTTCTAAGCGCAACGGTGACTCAGAGCAGAAGGTTGGTTGGGTTGGAATTCTCTTGGCCTCATTTGCTGCGTGTGAGCCTTGGGTTGCGTCTCCGTCATCCTGCGCCGGCAACAGGATTGCGTTGCTGGAGTGCTGGGTTAGGGCAGCCGAGATAGGCCAGCGCATCCTGGTGCCGCACGGTCACGTTGGACGGAGTGGCTGCTGCTGCCGTGCGAAGGAACTCCGAACAGTCGTTCAACTTGCTTGCCACCGCATTGCGCAACCCGCAGGAGTAGGGTGGACTAGCAGGCATTTGGTGCAGAATTCCCTGAGCCTGCTGATTGGGGCTTGATAGGTCCACTTGGAAGCTACTTGGCAGACAATGCTGAGGCCAGGCGCCGCCGGGCAAGGGTAGTACTCTAGCTTTCCGGAACCGAAGAAGGGCGAGTGCAGCACCATATACTTCAGCTGCGTGCCGGCCGTGCCTGGCAGCAAAAAGAACGCCACCCAACTTGCCGTCCGGGCAGGAATTGAGCCGCGCGGAGTAAGAAGCGGTCAGTTCCTTGGCCGACGCCTTAGCCACTGGACTAAGGCGTCGGCGAAAACATATGTAAAGATGTTTGAAGGACCAGTCACCGGCAACATCCCGGAGGTCCTGGAGAGGTAACGGAAGGCACGCACGTCACCGCAGGGCAGCTGGCCCTCGCTCTGACGCCCTACGCGCAAGTGGCAGACCTGGCCGTGAACACGGCAGCGTCCGGCAACAACGCAGCTGCCATCCAGTCCCTGGGCGACCGGGTCACTGCAGAGCTGGCTTCGAAGCTGGACAGCAGCGCACTGGCGGCGGCAATCGCGCCTCTGGCCACGGCAGCAGCCCTGGCCACCACAGACGGGCAGGTGGCTGCGCACGGAAGCAGCTGCGCAGCGCGCAGAGCTCGCTGACCACGGGTCTCTCCAACAAGGCAGACCAGTCGGCCTTCGACGTGCTGGAGGGCGTGGTGGCCACGAAGAGCACCCCCGACAGCGTGGACCTGAAGCTGTCGAACTACAGCACCACGGCAGCCATGAACGGCTCCATCGCCTCGGCCAACAACGCCACGCTGGCCACGGTGGCGGCCAACTACGGTCTCAAGACGGTGGTGGACCAGCACTCCCTCAACATCGCAGCAAGGATCACGCCGCTGGAGGTCGACACCAAGGTGGCCAACGCTCTCCTGGGCGTCGTGTCCGCCGCAGCGCTGGCCTCCGAGCTCGCAAGTCGAGACGCCTCCATCTCGGGCCTGCAGGCCTCCAAGGCGGACGCCAGCGCCCTGACCGCGTACGCCCTGCAGTCGGCCGTCGACACTTCTTCGGAGGTGGACTCGAAGATCGCAGCCGCCCTCCTGGACGCAGTCACCACGGCAGCCCTGGACGCCGCCCTCGTCGGCAAGGCGGACGCCAGCGCGCTGGCCGCCCTGCTCTCCACGGTGGACGGGCTGGACACACCACTGGAGGTGGACACCAAGATAGCAAATGCAGCGCTGGGTCTCGCCACCAAGGCCTTCGTCGCAGCGCAGCTTGCTAGCCGGGACGCCAGCATCTCGGCGCTCCAGGGCGCCAAGGCCGACGCGACGCTGCTGGCCTCGTACGCCACGAACGCCGTGCTCTCCGCCAGCGAGACCACGCTCCAGAGCGCCCTCGACGCAATCCTCGCGGAGCTCGCCGCCCTGCAGCTTCCCGGACGCGGAGTTGTTAACGCGCCGGCCTGGGCGGGCTTCACGACTTGGGAGCTCGTTCGCGGAAGCAACGTCGTTCGCAACCTGCATCTCGAGGCTCAACGGCGACGACACGCTGAGCATCACGGCCGACTGCTACTCCGTCGCAGCGGCGGACGCGGCCCTCGCGGCTGCGCTGCTGGCCTACTACACCTCGGCGCAAGTGGACGCGCTGTTGACTACCGAACGGGGACGGCGCAGGACGCCGAAGCGACCAGCGCCATCTCGGCTGCGCTGCTGGCCTACTACACCTCGGCGCAAGCGGACGCCCTGTTGGCCGACTACCGCACGGCGAGCGCGCAGGACACGCAGACGCAGGCAGCCATCGCGGGGCGCGTGCTGGCCTACCGGACGGGCCCGGACCAGGACGTGTTCACGACCAACCAGATCACCTTGCTGGTGGCGTACCGCTCGGCCGCCGACCAGGACACGGCGACGGCCTCGAGCATCGCCGCCGCCCTGCTCAGCTACTACACCATCGCGCAGGTGGACGGCCTCCTGGCCGGCAAGCTCGGAGTCACGGAGGCAGCCTCGGGTCTGGAGACAGCCGTGCGCTTCCCGGACGACGGAGGGGCCGACGAGGTGGTGGCCGCCATCGGTGAGCAGATTCTGGGCCCCACGGACGTCTCCCTGGCAAACTGGTCGGTTCGTCCCAGGAGCGGGTGCAGCGTGGTCCTGGCCACGCACACCGTGGGCGCAGTGAGCGTGGACGGCTCACCCTGATTCTGGCAGTGAATCCGTGGAACATCGTGCGCACCTACAACCTGACGCCCGGCCAAGAGCTCCTCTTCGCCTGCCGGTATCGCCTCCAACTTCGTACATGTCCGAGGCCGACAACGTCTACGACCCCCTGTACGGCAGCTTCGTGGGTGACCAGGGCGCCTGGAGCACGGCCAAGATGTACTTCACCGTGCCGCTGAACGGGGTCGCAAAGCTGCATTCCTGGCCAACCAGACGGCAGGAACGGTGGACGTCTACGGCCTCCAGATCCTGGACGCCACCCTGGAGGCCGGCAACTCGACGGAGGTCGAGGCGGACACGACAGCCTTGGCCCTGCTGCTCAAGCACGAGTTTCTCGACGGTGGGGCCGACGACGTCACGCTGGCCACCCTGGGTGAGGTGCTGTTGGAGCCCACCCTGACCACGCTGGGCAACTTCCTGGTGCGCTCCAACAGCCAGTAACCTCGGCCAGCTTCACGGCGGGCGGCTTCGAGCTGGAGGCTACGCCATGACCCTGAGCGCCTTAGCCTGGAACATCGTGCGCACCTGCATTCTGACGCCCGGGAGGCGCTTCTCCTTTGGCTGCCGGTACCGGCTGGGCACGGCCTCCAACCTGGTGATGTACGTCAGTGCGGCCGACAACGACTACGTGGGCGTCACCGGCACCTTCCTCGGAACGGCCGCGCAGGGAGTGTGGAGCACGGCTCGACTTCAGCCAGAACACCCGAGGGAAGACCAGGTACGCCTGGTGGTCATGGACGTCTGTATCCGGGAGGCTGCTGTGGAGGCTGTGCTCAACAAGAACGCCAAGACGGTCGGCCAGGCCACCAAGCGGGCCACGCAGGAGCTGGTGGGGGATGACAAGAACTTCGTGGTCACGAACGACCTGGGCAGCAACTTCGCCACGCCGATCGCAACGTACGGCCATTGTGGACCGGGGCATCCAGGCCACGCGCGTGGCCCGCAAGCGCGGGTAGTGGAGCGACCACTCTGAGCGAGCCGCGGGGGCCTGCAACGCCCGGCCACACGAGACGGTATACGGCACCCCCGAAAATGTGGAGAAGCAGCTGGCCACCGAGCTCCGGCTTCTACAGGAACGCCGACAAGTTCCAGCACAACAAGGACCTCACGGACCGGCGCATCAAGGCCGTGGAGGACGCAGGGGCTTTCCGAGCACCAACGAACGCGGCAAGGAGCTTCAACCCACAGTAGAGCGACATGCAGCAACTGCGGGCCGTGGACTCAATGACCGTCCGGAGCACCGAGGGCCAGGAGACCCTACTGCCACCCCCCCCTGAGACTGGACGTTGGACGATCAAAACAAAGGTTGGAGGGGCTCGATCAAAGTCAAACTCGTAACGAGCAACAGCGATTGCGAATGTTTGTTAACAGACCAAGCCACTGAAGGACAAAAATTAAATGCACACGCGGGCAAGGACCACTCTAACTACTATGACAAAATGTTCCCATTTGCTGGTCGCGTCTAGCTGGACAAAGCCTCTTTGGCTGGCTCGGCCCGCCCAAGTTCTGGCACTATCAGGGCACGGATGGCCAATTATTTGGTGGGTCCAGAACCGAATCGCACAGCCCTTTGAAAAGACCACACTGTTGGTTCTGCGATCTTGGCGAACAAATCTCCAGTTGTCTAGTGATACTTCTACGGCTGCTTCCCTTTCAACATGTACACCAATTCAAAAATACGGAATCGTTTTTTTTGAAGGGCCACTGAACAACTGGGAATCAGGCGGTGTTTAGTGTGTAACATTTCCTAAAAATAAAACTGCATGTTAGCCCCAATTCAGCTGGTGGAGTCTGCAAGTGTAATCAACGATGCCCAAGGCCCTGATCTGGCCGGCTAATTGTCACTGTACCAACTTGGGGCCAATAGGCTAATTGGAAAACATATTGCTCACCATGATCAACAAATGACCCGAGAACTTGGATGTGGGTTTGTCTCAAAATTGGAGATGCCGTTTCTGGTTGGTTGTAAAAGGATACCAAAAGGAAAAAACGTCTCCCACATTCCCATGACACTCACTCCAGGCTTGCCAGTGGCACGCACGCGGTCTGACAAGCTTTTGTCTGTGATTACATCTCTGGCTTCAATCTGCTTTGCCACGAAACTGAATACGCTGTACCAAAAAGCTCTGAGACAAGGAAGACACAACGCTGTCAGGGCTCATGGTTTCACGTTGGGCCAGTGAGCGGGACAAGCAGCCGTCAAAGATTTGCCCAGAAAACTCTGAATCTCGCTCGCAGTTAGATACTTCCACCGCTGCCTTTCTCAAGTTACGGGTGGTGTCCGGTGCCTGGCCACGGAACAGCAACCCCAGCATGCCAAGGGGCATATCCTGCTTCGGGTAGGCGCTGCCTAGTTTGGCTTGCATGCCCCTCACCAGGCAACTGGCCGTTGCATCCTTTTGATACACCCACATGGCGTCCACGATTTCCGTTTTAGAAAAAGTGGGCGACAGCACCGCTATGTAGGGGTATGTGTCGATCGGCTGCCCCTTCCACCAGGCCAGTATGACTTCTTGGTTGGTAGAATTTTCCTGCGGCACCTTCTCCACATACACCGCAGCGGGCCGTAGAGCCCCTTTTGCCAGTCCCAGCAGCTCGTGGGGCTCGCTGTACTTGGCCTCATAGCATCGAAGGCACAGAGCGACCAGCAACACGGTCTCCCAGTCTTGGCCGCTCTCAACCTTTCCCGACCAGCTCGGGAGCTCCTCGATCCATGCACCAACCTGTTTCCAACCCAGGTGGCAGCACATCTGTCCCACATAGGCAAGAATCCACCGGATCTGCCCCTTTTTGGGGGATTCAGTGAGGGCATCGAAGGCTCGCACTGGATCGTGGTCTGGACCCCGTTCGCCAGTGAAGAACTCTGACAGGAAAGACTCTGACAGGAAAGACTTTGCCAGGATTGGGAGCTCCGACTCTGCAGCAGGTATGATCTCCCGGAACCGCTCCTTCAGGTCCAAGTCCCCCGTCTTGACCGAGTAGATCAGGGACGGGATGTAGCCGAAATAGACGGCCTCCAACGGCGTCAAGGCCGCGCAGTTCGGGTGCATGCCTCTCAGCCTCTGCACCTCAGCGCACCTGGGCATTTTTATGGGGATCGCGGTACGAGAGCTTCCTGCGCCCTTGCCCAAGGCCCAAGACTTGATCGAGGCCAGCGCTGGTGGGGATGTGGGCGCTGAACACGAGGTGTCGTCCTGCAGGGTCAAGGAACATCTCTCGCAGGAATCTCCCCACATCTTGGTGGCCATCGGTTGGATTGGCTTTGAGCAAGACGTTCAGCTCATCCACGACGAGGACGACGTCCTGCTTGTCCGCCAGATATGCCTTCAAGGCTTTCTCGCTGCAGCGCACCCGCTCTGCATCTTTCTTGTCTGCGGGCTTGTTCTTCATTAGACTCACAGCAATGGCCCTCAGCATAGTGTCCAGTACCTTTTCGCCATCGAGCTTGTAGACGAGCGAATCCCCGTTGAAGCTGATGAAAATGGGGAGTTTCTCTTCCTTCTTCAGCCTGTCAAAGACCTTGCAAAGCATTGTTGTCTTGCCGCCGCGCATGCAGCGGGAGAGCATGGCAGGAGGCACTCGCGGCTTCGTACTCTTTGTGACCAGTGGCAGATTGTCCTGGACTGCCTGCATGCAGTCATCAACGCAAGAGTCCAGCTCTAGGAACCTTTTGGGTCGGTCACCATCTGAAGGTCGCAAGCAAGCAGCGAGATTGAAGTCCTTGGCAGTGACGACCTGCTCACCTTCTCAGTGACAAGACCAAAAGCAAAAGTGGGCTGGAAAGCCACTGCCGGAGAGGGGGCATTGACAAGAAGAAACAATGGGGCCAGCTCCGCGGGGCGATCTCATTTGCGCACGGCAAGTGTGCCTTTTCTGCTGGGCCGTTTGCTGGAAGCAAGAGAAGCTGCAGTGACTTGTGTACTGAGTTGCCCTGTTGGTCAAAATACCCCAACGCACCAGCACTGGCGATCACATGAGCTCATCCTTCTGCAACAATCCTACAGCCAGCTCAAACTACAGGAGCCGGGAACCATGGAAACAATCCAGCACGACACCATCTGCAAAAGGTTTTCCTCTCCCTAATCTTTCTCTTGAGCAGCCAAACAACCCGCAAATACGCAAAGAACCAACCAATGCAACAACATAGCAAGGACGGCTTCTTCGGCTTGTTGGGCGCTACAAAGGCGGTTCCTTGCGCTTTCATTGAACAGGGCTTGCCCTCAAGTGTGTTTTTGCTTGTTGTTCCACATTTTGGGACAAAACGTTGGAAAGTTGTGTCCCGTTGCACTTCCTCACAAGAAGGGGTTGTGCCACAAACATGGCGAAGCTAACCCCCAGCAAGAACCTCACAACGCGTTTGTTGTCGTCACCGCGCAACAACACAATATCCCTTCCCCGATCGCGTCATTGCGACTGGCAAAAACCACCTGCTGCAATCGCAATTTGAGCCACGTTTCTTGAGAGGCACTTGTGGCAAAAAAATCTGTTCAAATCATCCGAGAAGCGCTGCATCAAAATAAACGTCAGCAATTACTATTACCAAGAACATAGCACAGCTGGCCCTCTTCGAGTTGCTGCATGTTGAAGCGTCTTCAAGGCATGGCAACACATACTTGATCACATATCCGTCTAGTATGAGTGAAACTAGCAGGCTTGTTTACAGGAAAGAATCTTCCCTTCCCTTCTCTTCCCTTTCTTTGCTCTCTCTTGCGCGCTTTTGCACTCACAGCAGCTGCAACACGTCCATCTCTGGGATTATACACCTACAACTCATGAGAGAGTATCTCTTCTCCTGTTGGCGTTTGGCCCAGGAAGAGCCGTCCTGAATTTTTTGTCTGCCGTCTTCACATGTGCTGCAAATCTGGAGCAACGCATTTGCCATGTCTGCAAGGTCGTCTCTGTGCTCCTCCTTTTGAGGCTTCCTGCCCTGCGCTCCCTTCCTGCCCTTCCGAGGCTTCCTAGTCTTGTCCTGGCATGATTTGGACAGCTGACTTGCGGTCTTCAGCAACCCATAGCAGCATTGCACTGCAATGAATTCGAGCATAGGAGTCGCCTTCCGCTTCACAGGGATCAAAAGGTCGTGGTGAGCATTCTTGATATTCCGGTTGGACTTGATGGCCTTCCCGACCTTGCTTTCGACACTAGCTTCATTGTCCGTCGGGTATTCCACACCATCACTCCAGCAAACTTCGAACGGCTCCAAAACAGCTCGCAAGTGCAGATCCTCCGTAGGGTAGATCTCCAAAAACGGGATCCAGGTGACGTTAGCACTCAGATTTCTTGCTATGCAGTGAAGGTGGAAGCGCGCAGCCAGGGAATTGGCCACCAGCTCTTCCCAAGGGCGCCCCCTTTCAGTGGCGCCCCTTTTCTGCCCTATCAAGTAATTCAGCAAATCTGGCAGGAGCCCTTCCAACGAAATGTTCCGCTGTTTCAAGTCGTTTTGGAGGGCGTCTTTGACATTGGTATCCTTACACCACCACAGCCGTGGAACCAGCACGGACTTGTTCTTTGGAAACGCTGCTCCTGCCCTGAAGATGTCTGACCACCTTAGTGAGGTTCCGGGCACAAACTGGTTGCCTTCTGCAGGCCATCGAACCGCCGAGCAAAGAACCAACGACAAAGCCACTTTGGGCTCAGCGAAATAAGGCGCTGCATCCGCGTACGAGCTTTCGAACTCATTCGACATGGCGTTGAGTGCAACCTGAGCAGTTGATGCCAACTCACCCCTGGTCTGGAAAGCCGCCTCCAAAAGCCGGGGTACCCCGGCAGAGAAGAGGAAAATTTTGTTGAATTCCTCCTCCTGGTACTGCGTACCCCTCCAGCCTTTCATGGCTCGTCTGGCAGCTTGCAGTGACAATGGCTCTAGAGCTGGAGCTTTCTGGACCTTCAGCATGGTGTACTCGTCGGATGGCCTATCTTGCAGGATATTGACTGTGCCTGCGGAAAACATGCCAAGCCCCTGCGGGAATCGGCTCAATATTTGGGTGAAGACCGATTTCTGTCCACGATGTTGGCTCAGTTCATCGACCTTTCTGTTCACAAGCAGCTCTGCCTGATCGAGGAACAGTAAGCAAGGGCAGGCTGGTGTTGCATTGAAGGCTGCAGCCGTCACCAGAAGCCACTGCTCGAAGACATCCTTCCTTTCTTGACAAAATGAGCGAAGCCAAACTTCAAAGCTGCTGCGTCCCTCATTTGGTGTCGATGCACGCTTGACGGCCTTCAGCGCTGCAATGAACTCCATGCGCTGAAAACTCACCACGAGCCCACTCACTTCAATGCTGTACCCGTGCAACAACTGTGACAGGTGCCACACGACGATGGCAGAAGCAATCCAAACGGCATCTTCCTGCGACGATAACTCTGCAATTTCTTGCGCATCAAGACCAAGAGCCGCCCGCACCGTCGACTTTCGGAAAAGTTTGAGACCTTCGCCAAATGACGAATGAGCGATGTCTTGCCGGTGCCCCGCGGGCTGTACAAGGCCAAGACCGTCGGCTTGTTGGTCTGTTTCCTTTGGATCTCCTCCATTTGCTCCACAACACTCTCAACAACCGCCTCTCTTTCCTCAAAAGGCCTCTCATTCTTGTTGTTGATTCGGCGGTTCAAAAAGCGGTCTTCCAAGTCCGAGAGATCTGCGGCGTTAAAACGAGGGAGCTCAACCTGCGCGGAAGGTGCCCAAATTTGAGGTGGCTATGCATGAGGGAATGCTGGGAAGGACAAACAATCGCAACAAACCAAACACGCATCGGCAATTGGTGAGAAAATCGATGACTAGCAGGTTCCTTCCCACTGATTCATGTATTGCAAAACGCTAACCATTCACAACACTCCACAAAGAAGCATGGGTACTTAGTGCGAAAGCCGAGCACTAGGAAAGCGAGGAACACACGGGTACCAAAACCGAAACAAAACCAAATTTTCCAGCAGGAACACTGCCCATGAAAGCAAAGCGGGAGATGCGCGGTTCAGCTCAACAATCCTTTTGTGGGGCTCCACGCTGAGCAAAACCACTGAGTTCCCAGGAACCCCGTTCAGGTTCTGTGGATGTGATCAGGGCAGCCCCACTGAAAGCATTTCCACGGGGGAAATCAAAACCACACAAAACGTCAAACGGCACGTCTCAACGTCACCCGGCAGCAGAAATACATTGTGCACACTTTAGCCATCTCCTCCATGCTCGTGCTGTCGGAACAAAATTTAACCTTCGGATTGCATTGTGTCTGCAGCAGCAACGACCATGGCAGAAGGGTAGGTCTTGCTCTTCAAAAGGCAGGCGACTGGAACAGCAGGCTCTTCAATATTTGCGGGTTCCCCCCTCAACTGTTTGATAGTTTTGCGCCAAACACTCGCACCAAATCAGGCAGATATGAACAGGTACGCAGAAAAATGAACAACAGAACGGGGATGGAATGGCAGCAAAACGGGCAAAACATCGAGCAAGAACACTGCCAGTGGATGCAAAGCCGGGAATGGTTGAGCTCACTGCATCAAAGAGAACATTCATAGAATGCACTTGTGCCTGCAGCAGCAAGGACCCCCATGGGTGCAAAGACATCAGAGTTTGCCCTCCCTCTCCCCGGCAGACGGGCAGGTCTTGCTCTTTCAAAAGCAGGCTGGGGGCAAGCACAAAATCACTCACAACGATCAACGGCACGTCTCAATCAATGTCGACCAGCAGGAATGACCGACCTCCAACAAGGAAAGGCAACCATCCCGTCATGGGGGGTCCCTACCGAGCCTGCCAACGACAGGAAGCGCCGCAATCTGCACAAATGTAATCTTGGGATTTCCTGGTTCTGTGGATGTTGATCAGGGCAGGCCACGCGGAACGCCATCCTGCATCAGCTCTTCCAGTGTCAGCTGCAGTAGGGCCGCTCCGATCACCTTCTGCTTCAGCAGAATGGGGGTGACTTCGGTGATGTCGTCTGCTTCAAACCCAGCATCCAGCAGTACGGCTTCGACCCAGTTCGACAGAAGCCCTCCACCTCCTCGCGGCTCTTGGCGAGCCAGTCCTGCCAGCGCCCACCAACAACCGAGCCTGGCGCGCGCGAGCCCCCGGCCTCCGCGTCGCTGTCCTGGCGCGATTGCGACCGGCCAAATGTACAACTGGTGATTGGAGCGTCCTGCGGGCTGGCGCGCAAAGCAACTCCGCCACGCCCAGGGTGCCAGCGTGTCACCTCAAGAGCTGAAAATCCAAGCAGAAAAACATCACAGCGACACCGGGATCTGGACCTGTGGCCCGCAAGAATCCTGGCGGCACCACACAAAACAGCCAAGATGCCAGGAATCTAGTGTCCTTCCAGCCCGGGCGACTCGGTGAAATCCGCCCGTGAGGGATGGTGAAGAGATGTACCTGGGGCCACAACCAGCAAACCAAAGCACTGGAACAATGCTGCCGACGTCTTGGCCGTGTGCAAGAAAAGCCACGAGATTGCAGTCAGGAGAATGCGGGAGCGAACACCTGACGACAACGAGTCCTAACAAGCACGAGTTGAAGCTGACCAGCCTCGGCTCCTCCTGCCCTTCGTCGTCTCCACGCCCATGGCTGCGCAGTGTTTCCCTCGTGACTAGTTTGCGATACGATGTGGATTTAAAAGCGCGACTTTGCGCTGTGTGTGTGGACCGTCGGCAGCGCTGCTTCTGAGCGCTTCTTTGGGCCAGGCTACAAGCAAAAATGTTTTCACACATTTCGCATGGCGGGTGCTGATCCGTCAAATCCGAAACCACCGCAAGCGCAATGTTT